CAAAATTACTCTGGCTGGCTTGCGATGCAGTACTTCGTTAGATATGCAATACATATTCATTACATTCACACATTGCACTAAGCCACACTGTATAGATTTAGCATTTTGGGCAAACCCAGCCATTACAAATCACATCTTATGGCTTAGTACAGTGCCTCCCAATCTTTTGGGCACCAGGGACCGGAACTATGGAGAGAGGTTTTTCCATTAACCAGAGGGGGTGTGGTTTCACGTGCTGCCTGCATCCCATGGATGGGACTTTGCTTGTTTTTGAGGCCTGGTTTCTAGCATGCCGGGGACCAATGCTGGTCCACAGACTGGGGGTTGTGGATCCCTGGCTTAGTATATTGCACAAATTCGGTCACTTATAGTTTTACAACAAGATATTTTTTAAAAAATATCAGGGCTTCCTGATATTTCAACGTATAAGGACCTGAATTGTATTTGGTTGTCTTATTTCATTCCATGTTAAACTTAATTAACATTAAACCTAGTTCATATGATCAGTCTGTCACGTGTCTTAATAATTTTCCCTGTCATACTAACCGTGACAATAACCTTAAAGGTCTCTGGGATCATATCGAAGGCTTCTTGAGTCACCAGTAACCTTGTGGTCTAAAGTTGTGCCATGTGTTGACCAGGTCGTTGTGTTCTCTTCCTGCCCCTCTCTATCAGATCCATCATGATGTCTTTTGCTCGGTTGTATATGTTGATATTGGCTGCTGCTGGCAGTCATGAGGAAATTAACAAGGCAGTAATGTAGAATGAGGAGTGAGTGGTGTGGTGGCCTAGTGGTGAAGATGCTCACCCCCCCCCTCAGAAAGTTGAGTGTTCAATCCTAGGTAGCGGCAGATGTTTCTCTCTGATGAAGGGCATCCGGCCGGTAAACACTCAGCTCTATCCAGTCATCCCGACTCTACCTCGAACTAAGGGATCAAAGGGTCGTACAAAGGACGTTTTTAATGTAGAATGTATTAATGTTTTCTGTCCATCCATTGTCTCAGCACAATGTGTCTCTGAGGCTTGTTATGGGAAAATAACCAGGAGGAAGGAGCACAATATCTGCAGCATCAAGTTCTTCACCGGAGGACAAGATAGAAATCTAATAACTAAGCCAAGCACATGACTGCCTTAACAACAGGGGTGCCTGCGTGTATCTGTTGGCTCCATGGACACACAAACTTAATAAGTTGTCCATGGCTTGATTAGCCGATCTTAGGTTACAGAGATGGAGTAAATTTTAATCCAGGAGTGCTGTCTTTAGTAACAGACAGGCATTGTTCATAGAAGAAAGAACTGAATATCCCCCAATCTAAATATATCTTTTTAAAATCAATTCTTGATCATTCTTTGTTGTTCTGTCCTGTCACTCACTTTTTAAAGTGTGATTTCCAGCATGACTGGAGGTTGTAGCCACCCAATCAATTCTCTGGTAGCAGCTCTCCAAAAAAGATACCTCTAGGAATCTTCTCCAGCATTACTGGTGGATCAGGGCTCCCCAACTCCCTGCCCCCATCCATGGACCAGTACCAGTTCAAAGCCTACTGCAGAGGTTTCCAAACTTGGCAACTTTAAGACTTATGAACTTCAACCCCCAGAATTCCTCAGCGAGCTATGCTGGCTGAGGAATTCTGGGAGTTGAAGTCCACAAGTCTTAAAGTTGCTAAGTATGGGGACCCCTGGCCTATTAGGAAGCAGGCCACAGAAGTAGCGGGCAAGCACATGAAGCTCCATTTGTGTAAGTGGTGGGTGCATGCACAAAACCATCCCTTCCCCCTTGCTATCCCTGCCATTGCTAGTCCATCAGAGCCGGAAAGGTTGGGAATGGCTGCTGTAGATGATCTTGTAAACTTTTGCATGCACCTAGCAGTTTCTTTACCACTACAGTACCTCTTCAGTTCTGATATGGTAAGGCATAGCACCTGAATATAAGTGAAGTTGTGCAGCCTCTCCACGTGGCAGTCCAACACATCTGGGATAGCGGTAGTCCTCGACTTGCAACCATTCATTTAGAGACCATTTGAAGTTACAATGGCACTGGGGGGAAAAAGATGACGATTTTTCACTTACCACTGCAGCATACACTGGTCACCTAATCAAAATTTGCATGCTTAGCAATTGGGATACACAAACACCCACCCCACAGTTGCAGTGTCCTGGGATCATGTGATCAACTGGCAACCTTTTGATGAGCAAAATCAATGGAGAATCTAGATTCACTTAACAACCATGTTACTAACTTAACTGCAGTGATTCACTTAGCAACTATGGTAAGAAAGGTTGTAAAATGGGTCAAAATTCAAGGTTTTTTTTTTGCTTAGCAACAGAAATTTGGGGCTCAGTTGTAGTTGTAAGTCAAGGACTACCCTGTATTCCAGATGATACTTGTCATCTTTCCTTCATTTCCTTCTCTCTCTCTCCCCCTCTCCCTCCCGCTCTCTCTCTCCCTCCCTCCCCCCCCTCTTTGTGTTTGTAACTTCTTCCTCTTTACTCCATTTTTGCAGTCAGGATAGTATTACCAACCATATTTTATGTAGGTGCTTCCTGGAGAAAGAAGGTGAAGAATGAAATCTTGGATGACTCTTAGACCTTTAATTAACCACAGTAATTCCACCAAAGCTTATATTCATTTACTCATTAAGCCTTACCTTTGCTAGGGAATTAATCTGAGCAGGGCCAACTCCTGAATTCTTGCCTTGCCCACCGAATGTTTTAATTTTTCAAATCTCCTTTTCTCTTTGCTGTCTCAGGACTGAGTTTTGTTTGGTTTATCCCACCCCTTTACTCATGCCCTTTGTTTAATTAGGTCATTCTTACCCCTTCTTTCTTTTGTTGACTGACTGACCGAATTTGTATCTTCAGCTGCACATTCTTTCCCCAAGGTCTTTGATACTCAACTGGAACCATCTGTCATAATACTGGTCTTAGCTGGACTCAGCTGGCCTGTTCCACCCACCTCTGACTGCTGATGCTCACAGTGCCTCTCTGTCTTTGATATTCCAACCGGCTTTCCCTCCCCCCTTTTCAAGTGTCATCCTCTGATAACATTCTCACTGTTCCTGACTGGACTGATGGTGATGTACAAGGAGCTTTCCTCTATGGAAATTAAGTAGGTTTTGTCCAGTTCTCAGCGGATCAGGCTGTTGGCGTTTCATAAAAGTGAACTCTGATTTATTAACTTAGTTAATAAAGGCTGGGTACAACTGTGTGCAAGCTGTCAAGAGTGATCGATCTGCAGACAGTGTTTACCACTGATTGATTTCTGTATTATGGTGGGAGGGTGAGCTTTTAAAATGTGAATAAAGGCCTTCTCTGGCGAAGGTGAACTGGTTAGAAACATCTGGCCAGGTATAGCTACTACTGTTTCAGATACGCCAGCTATTTCTTTGGGATGTACTCTTCCTGCAGACCTGATGGAACTGATGAATGCTGATGTGGGAAGTTCTAAAGTGGGTTTAAGTATGACTTGGTCTCAAAGTGGACATCTAAAGAATCTGCAAACACTGGTCTAGATTAGAATTTGATTAAATTGTTGGATTTGGAGTTACTGCAAATAAGGGCCTAAAGTTCTTATGATAGTGTGCAGGTTTATGGTAAAGTCTTTTGGTTTCCTTTCCATGACAATGTGACTTTCAAGAGCTTGCCTCTGTGAGTACAATGTCATGGCATAATTTGCTCTGACCAATAGGGCTGCTTTCCCTAGGACAGTGGTGGCTAACCTTTTTGGGCTCCTGTGCCAAAAATTGTGTGCGCACCAGCGCACACGCACTTGCGTGCCAGCACCCAGAATGCAATGTGTGTCCCCGCACCCCATGCCCCCTGTGCATGCATGCGCAATCTCCCCCTCCCGCCACCCCCTTACCTGCACTGCGCCTCACAGCTGATTTTTTGGCTGGTTTGAGGCCTTTTTTGGCCTCCCAGAAGCTTGGGAAAAGCCTCTGCAAGGCTTTTCAGTCCGAATTATAGGCCTGTTTCATCACTTCCTGTAATACTGGAAGTGACGAAACAGGCCTATAATTCGGCCTGAAAAACCTTGCAGAGGCTTTTCCCAAGCTTCTGGGAGGCCAAAAAAGGCCTCAAACCAACCAGAAAAAAAATCAGCTGTGAGGCGCACGCATGCGCAGTGAGGTAAGGTTGCATCTCGCGTGACAGCACAAATGACTCTGCATGCCACTTGTGGCACCCGTGCCATAGGTTCACTATCATGGCCCTAGGAGATCCTCCCCCCCAAAAAATAATTGTGTATGGAAATATACTGATAAGAAGTAACTGTTGAAAGTAAGATAATTAGAATAGATAAAAACATAGGTAGATCTTTGATGACTTTGAAGATTAACTGCACCTTGGCAGGTGTTGTTTACTTGGTGAATTTAACTCTTTTTGTAACTTCTGAGCATGGTCCTTCCTTTTTTCCTTTCCTGTGTAGCTGCCTTTCCCCCCTCTTGAAATTATTTATTATTTTTGGCAGTTTCTGTTGGAAAGGGATCTATGAAAGTGTGTGAATATTTGTGTGTTTTTCTGTGAGAGTCATTAGTAAGTGAAACAATTAACTTTTAAGTGGTTATATTTTTGAAAGCAATTAATTACTAGAAGTCTGTCCGTCTGACTGTCTGTTTGTCTGTCTCTCTCTCTCCCTATCTACCTATCTATCTATCTACCTATCTATCTATCTATCTCCTGACCCCATTCGTATATGTATGGTTTGGATGTATGAATATAATGCACTCTTATAATGTAATAAAATGGGCAATGAGTGGGTAAGGAACAAATCTTTAGAACTGGTTTTAGCTGGTGTTAACAAACCAACAGGATACCAAGCAGACAATGAAAAGCATGTTGCCTTTGTGTTCGTGGGCTTTTTAATCTATTTTTTCTTAAAGAATCATCTTAAATTCAGAATCTCTGTTTGAGTAAAGCAAGTAAGCAACATGTTATACTTCTACCTGCAAGCCTGTATGTGTGTTTTTCTTAATACCTCCTTCTAATTTTCTTTTCTGCAGAATTTAATGAATCTTGCAGTTGATCTGAAATACCCACTGTGAAGAAAATAACACCCAGGGAACATTTACAGTTGGATATTTTTAATGTTCATGAGATGTCTCCTAGAACGGCCCTCCTGATGCCATGGATATTCTGCCTCTTAAAGCACTGGTGTTGGTCTTGGTCAGCTGTTTTGCTGGGCTTCTTTACAACCATCCCAGCCTTTTTTTTAACTGGGAAAGAACAATTTACAAGAAACCTAATTTCATAATAATTTTGGCAGACGATGTAGGATGGGGAGATTTTGGAGCCAACTGGGACCTAAAAAAAGGCACACCTAATTTGGATAAGATAGCTGAGGAAGGAATGAGGTGAGTTTCAAACTATTCTCTATCATTCACATTTATTTACCGTGTATTTAGAGAGTATAGTCAATTGTTTAAATGCTATATAGGATTATTGGATTGTGCCTATAGTTGTGCATTTTTTGCTTATTGGTTTATGACATTTACATTGTACACAATCAAAAGCATACTTTATATCATACAGCATATCAAAATGAGAGGGTTACAATAAATATGGAAGATTCATAAAACTTAAATTAAAAAATATAGGAACATTCCAGACAGCACGTTGTATCGGCCTCCTGTGGAGATTCATGAGATTGGAGAAATGTTGTGAGAAATGAGATTGAAACTGTTTTCAGCAATCTCCAGAAAGCAACTAGAATTAGGGCCAAACACAATTCCCACAGGAGACCATTCCAGAGAGCCAACCCAATGGTGCGAAAAAATGGCTCAGGGCTTCGCCCACTTTCATGACCTTCCCTAAATGGGAGAAAACCCATTGCTTCTTGTGGCATGATTGAAATGGTTGGGCCAATCTCAGTAGAAAGATGTGGTTTTGAAGGTATATCAGGGTTATTTTCAATAAACTTGGTTTATTTATTTCTGAAATTTATATGCTCCTTAACGCCAAAAGAATGATATAAAATATAAAATAAATATAATGTAAAATAAAGTAAAAAAGAATTGATTAAGAAAACATAAATGCCAGAACACACTAAGCATTAGTTTCTTAGCCATTGAGTATCCAAAAAATAATACTAACAAGATTAATCCCGCTTATATTTAATACCTTGTCAATCCCCCAAAATGTTGTAAAACAGCCAGCTTTTAAATGCAAATGGGAGATAAATTGTTTTCAATAAATATAGGACCTTGAGGGACTCAGGTGAAGGTTGTTTACAAATTGATCATCGCTCATTTGCACTACTACAAGACCTGAAAGTTCCTTTGGAGGGGAGTGAGAAACTGTAGTAATTCCAGGATATGGTGGCTACACAGCTGCCAGATCAGTCCAGCTGTTGCCAAATAACACCAACTTTAAAAGACATTAAGTTGCTTCTGATAAAGCTTACATGGCATAGTATCAAGATACGTCTGGTACCACCTCAACAAAATTGAATGGGCTAATCTGTTCAGACATCTAGAGAGGATTTTCTAGAATTTTTTGCTTTCTGTGAAAAGTCCATCAGAGTAGGCTAGATGGCATGTTTCCTTAGTCTAAGGAGTACCTTTATCTCTCCCATTCTGTAAAATGGTTAAAACTATTATACTATCAAAGCTGAACTCATTATTGGCATTCATCCATATTTTTGTTTTATTTTTGTTTGCTCTTTCTCCTGTTTTACTTTTGCTTTATTGTTCATCGTCCAGACTCTTTAATTTATGGAAGAATATCAACAAATATGGTAACAATGAAATTGTATTCATGTTCATTAATTGGGCGAGTTTATTCTTTTATCCTGGTTTTGCCCTTTTCTGGTGAATATCCTTGAGGAAGATGAATGGTCTAGAAACATGAAATATGAATAAATATCCACAATAGAGTACACACACAAATATTATTATGCGCTTATACTTATTGGTAGTGAGATGGGGAATGTTCATAATTGGTTTCATCAAAAGATGGCAGTCCTAGGTTAATCAGTGCCTAAGAAAGGCACTGCATAGATTTTTCATCAGGATTTACATATTTTTTCCATTCCTTTCTACTTTTTTTCCCTCACTGTCTACTCTATTTTTTGTAAAATGATAGTGTGAAATTCAAGGTCATATTCATTTGGAGTAAATACATTGATGTCATCATCATTATCATCATCATTGTCATCATCATCATTATCATCATAATCTAAACTTGTAAGAACAGATCATGCCAAACCTATCTTATTTCATTCTTCAATAAAGTGACTAAATTAGTAGACCAGCAAAATACTCTGGACATAATATATTTAGATTTCAGCAAGGCATTCGACAAAGTAGACCACAACCTACTTCTTAGTAAGTTAGAAAAAAGTGGAATAGATAGCACCACCACTAGATGGACTCGCAACTGGCTGGCAAACCGTACTCAATGAGTAGTCCTTAATGGGTCTAAGTCTACATGGAGGGAAGTAAGCAGTGGGGTGCCACAAGGTTCCATCTTAGGCCCAGTACTCTTCAACATCTTCATTGACGACTTAGATGAGGGAATAGAAGGGGAACTTACCAAATTTGCAGATGATAATAAGCTGGCAGGAATAGCTAACACCCAAGAAGATAGGCTCAAGATCCAGATGGATCTTGACAGACTAGAACACTGGGCCGTATCTAACAAAATGAAATTCAATGTAGAGAAAAGTAAAGTCCTACACTTAAGCAAGAAAAACCAAAAGTACACATACAGACTGGGTGAAACCAGGCTCAATAGCAGTAACTGTGACAGGGATCTTGGAGTCTTAGTGGACAACCAGCTAAATATGAGCCAGCAGTGTGCAGCAGCAGCCAAAAAAGCTAATGCAATCCTAAATTGTATTAACAGAGGGATACAATCAAGATCAAGTGAAGTACTAATATCACTCTATAAAGCCTTAGTAAGACCACACCTAGAGTACTGCATCCAGTTTTGGTCATCACATTATAAAAAAGATGTTGAGACTCTAGAAAAAGTACAGAGAAGAGCAACCAGGATGATTAGGGGACTGGAGGCTGAAACACATGAAGAACGGTTACAGGAACTGGGCTTGGCTAGTCTAATGAAGAGAAGGACCAGGGGAGACATGATAGCGGTCTTCCAATATTTGAGGGCTGCCACAGGGAGGAAGGGGTCAAGCTATTTTCTAAAGCGCCTGTAGGCCAGACAAGGAACAATGGATGGAAACTGAACAAGGGGAGATTTAACCTGGAAATAAGGAGAAACTTTCTGACAGTGAGAACAATCAACCCATGGAACAGCTTGCCCTCGGAAGTTGTGGGAGCACCATCACTTGAGACTTTCAAGAAGAGATTGGACTGCCATTTGTCAGAAATTGTGTAGGGTCCCCCGTTTGGGCAGGGGGTTGGACTAGATAACCTAAAAGGTCCCTTCCAACTCTGATTATCTGTTATCTGTATGCTGCCCAACTCTCAACATCTCTGGGTTGCTTATGCAGTAGAATTTGGAAGAGTTAAAGAGCCATTTCCAATATTTTACTGGCACAAGTGGCACATTTCCCCTTCCACCCACCCTCTGCAAATGCTCAGTCTTTAAAATTGTTACTTGCTTAATAATGTGCATTTCTCCAAAACTGGGAGACAAGTTTAAACCATTTCTACTACAACTACAAATGCTAATTGTGTGACATGATTCAATTCAAAGATGCTCCCTTTTAATGAATAATTGTTTTATAGGATGTACGAAGAATTTATTGCTTCTCTAAAGACGTCAATGCTGGCTATTTAAAACCTCCTCAGGCAAATAGTCAAACAAGGGGTTGAGATAGCTCTAGTGATTGGGACTTCTGTTTGCTTAGTGTAAACATGTTTATCATGTGTTGCCTGTCTTGAATGTATTTGCTTCATACCATTTTGGCATATACACAAATCTTTGAAAGCAGCCAGTCAGCCTTTTTCTACAAGTTGTAGCTCGTTTTCCTTTAATATAGCCTAAGCATGTGTTCGTTTTTTCTCTTGTTTCTACAGAATATCAATAGCATTTAGATTTATATGCCAACCCGCAAAACTTTACAGCACACTCTATGCAGTTTACAATGTCAATATACAGCTCCCAACTGTATCCATCTGGGTCCTTCTTTTTATTGACCTCAGAAGGAGGATGGAAGGTTGAGTCAACCTTGAACCTTTCAGGATTGAACTCCAGGCTGTGGGCAGAGTTAGCCTGCAATATGGCATTGTAACCACTGCGCCACCACGACTCTTGATTTTGCAGAACTATATGAAAGCAGTATATATGTTGAGACCTGAGACCTGCCCGCTCTTGCATTATTTTGTTTATTTTTCTATTTTGATCGGTCATAGCAGCATAGAATTCAAATAGCCTATTTCAGTTCTGTACCATATTTCAAACTCATAGTAACCTGTCCACACTAGCAGACCACACCAAACCATATCAATTGAAGAGAACATTTATAGCTCCGGGTTGAACTGTGAGTTCCTTGGTGCTCTCTGAGCTTGATTGTTTTCTTGCAGACCACGTGAAGGGCTCCTGAAGCTACATTCACTCCAATGGCTGCCAGTCTTCGACAGGACGACATTCTTCCAGAGGAAGTTCCAGAGAGGATGAAGGCGTGGATGGAGCTGGCAATCCGCCAGGGAATCGCAGCAGGTCTTCAACACGCAGTTCTGACCAGGGAACATCCTGTAACTGCTGTTTATGATTCTCAATCGCTAAGGTCGTTGACCAGATCGGAGCAACACTATACCCAGGCACAGTTTCAGGGGGACATGCCCCTCCAGGGGCCAGAGGAGGAGGAGGAGGAGGAGGAGGCGGAAGAAGTGGATCAAATTGATCAAATGGATCAGATTGAATCAGGATCAATACATGACAGTGACCTGGCCCTGTCAGAAGCGGACCCCCTAGAAAGGGGGATGTCTGAAGATGAGGGCCTTCTTCCCGATCAACCTGTATTTACAGGCTTATTCTGCCCACAACTAGTCAGATCACTTTTGTTTAAGGCAAAAAACATTGCACGCCTGAAGAAGTCGGCCCCTTCTACCACTCTAACTCCTTCAGAAGTGGGACCAGAAGATCTAATTTTCAACCAACCGGTAGTCGAGGCAGATGTGATTCCAGTTCCTCACATGTTTTCAGACCTGGTACAGAAACAGTGGGCATCTGCAGCGGTGTACCCTGCCCCCATGGGATATGACAGGAAATATTTTAATTTGGCCCCTGATTTCTCAAAATTGTTGAATACTCCCGAGGTAAACGAACCTATAGTGGGATTAGCGTCCTCATCCTCCATTCCCAGTGAAGCACTGGAGGCCAGAGGAAAAAAGGGCCAGCCTTGCCCTACACAGGAGCCATCAGTCTGATGCATGGGCCATCAGAG